AGAATTTTATAAACATTTTCCAGTATCTAAAAAAATTATAATATGTGAACAAATAATTTATAAATTATAAATATTCTTAGTTTTTCAAAAATAATAATGTTTCTTACTTCAAAATATTTTTTATATGATGTTGATGATAGCATGTGCAAAATTAAATGGAGTCCAGCTTGTGTGACTTCTATTGAATGTGAATTGTGTATAGCTAATGTTACACATTGCCAGAATTTTACAGTAGTATTTATTTTTATAAAATTTATAGAAAATACACTATTAGAAAATAATTGAAATAATTTTGATAACAGATAAACATAACTGTCACGATCGTTAATAGAAATGTGGATAGAAGTAAAATCAATTACAGACAATTGAGTTCGAAAATTCTTTTCAGGATTACACCATGTAATGATAATTGGCCACGAATCTGTAACTACATTTTCTGCCATTTCTAAATTAAAAACATAGCAATTAAATATTTTTAAGGAAATAATACTATTTTATAATATTTATTTTACTTGTTATAAATTTAGAATAATCATTAATAGCACAATCATAAATATACGTGTTTTGGCATGAAAGTACTTCCAATAAACATGTTTGGCTATGAAATGAATTACTATGTAATGGGGAGAATCCCTTTTGACTAAGAATTTTTACTAGTTGACCAATGATCCAGATGGTAAATTCTGAAAAAAAATTGATTAAATTAAACTTAAATTATCATATAGAATATAGATACATTCTAATATTAAATTGATCAATAAATAATTTAAGCAAAATCAAATTGGTATCATTAAAAACATGAAAAGTAAGGTTCCTAAAATAATTCTATGGATTAATAATAATGTATTTTTAACTACATATTTACCTTTATAGTAATCAACACAGAATGCATTGCTTTTGATGCTAATAAAAGGACTAAACACTCCTTCTTGTTCTCCCATCTTACTCAGAACTTCACGCATAATTTTAGCATGCTCTTCCAATGACTCAGCTTCTTCATCCATTATAAATGTAAACATACTTTTAAATTTTCTCCAGAGATCAAACGGGAACTTTTGTTCAGCTACCGCAATATCCACATCCATTTTTTCCATTATTGTTTCAAAAATACTAATAAAATTATAGGTTGTTTTATAGAAGAAAATATTATTTATATATTATATATATTTAAACAAACTTGATTTTTTAATACTGTAAAAACATAAAACCCCATTAGGTGAATAGTATTCAAATATTAGGTACATACACGCTAAGTATACTTGATGATTAAAACGTGAGTTCAGAAATTTTTGATAATGTTTAAGTTACTTGCACTAGTTGCACTATAAAAAAAATTAAATTAGGTACCTATTATGATTTTTGAACTATGAAGTACATCACATATCATTTAAAATGATAAGCTTTCAAGTAAAAACAAAATGCACGAATTCAAATCCCGCCAAAAATTATTGTTATCTACATCTGAGCTCCACCAGGATGATAACATAATACAAAAAATATTATTCTATATGTACAATGTTTATTCTACCATTTCTACCTCTAGTAGCGTATTTGATTTAATTTTGTAAGGGGGGGAGCGGTACTAAATTTACGAGACCAAGCATTATACACTAGTTAAGTACAATATATTTATATATATTATATATGCTTATGTTCTTGAATATATATTCCTACTAGTCCATTTTATACTTGCATCTTTTACACATTGCATAATATCTTGAGAAAGGTAATTTAAATACAATAAAGTTACTGTAAAATAATATTATATTTATTAAATTATAAAATTAATATTTCTTTTTTTTATTTGTGAGAATTTATCAATAATTCTGTAAATATCTATAATTATTGATCTGTCCACTCGTAATAAAGCCAATTTGCTTAATATATTTTTCCCCATTGTGGATCTAAGCTATGTTTTTAATCTACATAAAATAAATGAGAAATTTTTTAAATTGCAATAGCTAAAGTTTATAAACATCGCTAAATACTAACTATTTATACTAATCATAGGCGTAATTAGTCCTTTAAGTTAGGGGGATAGATTCCTAAAAATGTTTAATAGTAAATTTTTTAATTAAATTATTATTTATTGTTTCTATTGGTGTTCACAACTGACTTGAATGGTTATTCGTTTATATGAAACACTCTATTTTTTTATGTTTTTTTAATATTAATGTAAAGACTGACCTTACTGGACAAAATTATATAATTGTTTAGTAAGGCCGGGTTGCGCCCAAGCGGATGGCACTTAGGATACGTGTGTTTGGTGTAGAAAAATAAATCGTCGAGTTATATTTTATCACTTTATTCGTTTAAAAGATGGACGACAACTGACACTCCGTCGTATCGACGAAATTAACATTATACAGATAATCTTTTTGTGTTAATCCGATTACGATCATCATATGGAAAAATTTTTCAATCGTAATCGGAGTATACCATAATAATGTATTATAGCTAATAAAGATAAACATATATATATATAATTCAATTTTCAATATTGCCACATTGACTTATTCATAAGCACATAGATTTACCCAAACATTTGGGGGGGGGGATAAGGACCACCAAAGCCCCCTTCTAGTTACGTCTATGATACTAATAAACTATGCCTGCAATTAGAATTTTAATGATTAAGTTATCGATGTTTTTATTAATATGAAAGATGGACGCATATAATATCTTAACTACAAAAATATGATTGATTAAAATTTTAAATGTAATATTTTTTTAATATAAATTTATAATATATACAAACAAATAACTTGGATAATGGGGGAGGGCGATCGCCCCCATCACTCTCCATCCAAATACGCCACTGTCTACCTCCATTATTTCTATGAATCCACGATCTTGGATTGTTATTGGATCCATGAAATGAAAACCACTATAACAGAAAATATTATTATAGAGACGAGAGATATAATGTGTTGGACTTTGGATTCTTTTTTAATTCTTCACATACGTATAGACACGTAGTTCTTTATGCTTTTTCCGAACAATACTGCATTATTATTCTTTAAATCATATTTTTATTCAACATTTCATCGTTTCTTACTACTGTCACGTCCAATATTGGGTTGGAGAAACCCATGACCATTCCAGATATAAAATCAATTGAATTGAATAATAGTTTATAATAAATACAGTGCATTTAATACACTTCTTATAGTTACTCACTTGATAATAGTGCAATAATAGTTAAGTATGTTTTCTGAATTTTGATATTGTACGTTCCACTTAAATACAATTAATTTAACAATTATAATTACTGTTAAAAATGTATAGCCATCTTAAGTTTTCAATAATGTAACAGATCTTTTAAGTAAGCACAATAATACTAATAATAAATAGTAATACGATTATTGGGATTCCTATGACGAAAGTTGAAAATCAAGCAAATATTATGCAAGAAATATAATCTATTTTAAATGTCAATTCCCAGTGGATGAAATTACTATTGTATTTCGAATGAATCCAAAAAACGATAATGATAAACTAATGAAATCCATAGTTCGTTCCCAAAAAAATTGATCTTCATATTATATCATGAGTAGGGAACGGATTTTATTGTAAATACATATTTTTATTGAAATGAGATATTTTAACTCTGATCAAATATTTATACGATTTAGATCATTCCAATTAAAATAAACCCAAATTTACTTTACATATTTTTACATATTTTGGTATGAATACATATTTTTACATATTTGATAAATAAGTACATATTTTAGTACTTATTTTAGTGATTTTTAATTTTTGACGACTTTAAGCATTATCTGTTTCATCTAAATTAACAAGATTAGCAATTTTTGACGACCATCAAATATTATCGTTATCTAAATGGCATTTACGTACTTATTTCCGGCACGTGGCATGCCACTATATAGATTAGAACTAGTTCAGTATCTCTTGGTAATGACTGACGATATAAATATAAAATAAGGAAGTGGTACCTACATTTTCGAGTATATAGGTACTATAGTATAAATGTACTCGACAATCGTCTTTAGTAAAATTCGTAGTTTCTATATATTTAAAATGTAATCTCGTGTATTAGTCAACATCTAGTTTATAATTTTAAAATGCCAAAAGTTGTGAAATCGAAATCAAAAGCGAATTTTTATTTAAAAGAGTTTCCTAACGAGACATACAACGATGTATACCTACATCGTTTGTAATACTTTTATTTATAAAATATATTTTTTTTTGTAATTTTTAATACCTACTAATACTTTTTTTCGATATACATATTTTTAATTTTTTTTTTTTACATATTTATGTACATATTTTGATTTTTTTATTACAATAAAGTCCGTTCCCTGATCATGAGTTAACCTCTGGTATCAATCTTACATTCTTACCATCAATTAGCTTTTATAAAAAGTTACCATCAGCCCTTAGGCGTCTATCCTCTAGAGAGGAGAGATTTAGTACATCCGTGACCGGTTCATAAACATTTTTGAGATTATCATTATTTAATAGGAAGCCAACATAGCTTAAGAAGAGTTTCTGCCTCATTCAAGACTCAACTAAGATTATTTCAACTCGAAGATAAGGATTCCAAATTATCGAGCCTTAATCAAGAACCGATCGTTTTAAGAATTATTAAAACAAGGTGTTTAGTTATGATTTATAAAGTAACAAATAAATGTCAATATGTAGTAATATCGTTTTAAATTCGAGAGAGATTGCTGGCTAGTAACAAAAATAAAATAACTATGACATCAACAACCAACAAAAATTTTGCGAATAAATACAGGATACCACACGATTTTGTTTCAGTCGTTAACGAGCTCTATACCAGTAAGCATTACAAAACTTTTACAACTCAAAAAAAATAATAAACATAAAGGAAATTCTTAAATGCATTTATATGTTGTTGTACGAAGCGCGCTCGTAAACAACAAAAATCTAAAAAAGAACAGAAGTCAACCCAAGATCAAGGGCCGACGGAATTTATCGAAGCCAGTAGATACGTAGATAAACCAAATCAAATGGACGTGAGTCCCGTCACCGACCAATCGTGTCAAACGGACGTGAGTCCCGTCGTCGACGTGTGCGTTACAGACCAACTTTGTCAAACGGAAGATGAGGACGGCAGCAGCGGCGAGTTGTACAGCAACGGCCACGACGCGATTGCCGTCGGTCACGAAGTGGTCGGACGCTATTACACCACATTATATAACAACCAGGAAAACGTTTGGGAACTGTACTCGGAGAACGCCCAATACTTGCAAACGAACGGGGACGGCTCGCGAACCGTGGCCACGGGCCGGCCGGAGTTACGCGAGCTATTCAAAGCGGTTGGTGCTAGTGGCACGTTGACCCGATTGCCGTTGATCAACGTGATCGGTGATGCGGCAAGTGCGGCGTCAACGCCCTCGGGCCCACTAAATGACACAAAGACATAATTCGATTCGTTCTGTTTCCCGGTCCGATCAAAGCCGTTCTTAATGCAGACACTTAATACCGTACCGAATCGGCCAAACGTCCCGGATAAATCCTCGGACGTCGTGGACGGTAGTAAGTGCCCGACAAGAAGTTGATGTTCGTTCGACGATGGTCGCGTCCACCGTGCAACGGCCGTCATCCACGTACTGTCCCGGCGCTCCGACCGGCCACGCCGCCCCGACCAGCTACGCCGCCGCCGTTTACCAGCCACTGTCGACCGGCCTGCACCCGAAGCCCTGGTTTGATCTATTAGAGCCCTCCACCGACTGTCCACAACCGTCGTCCCGTCCGCAGCCGCACACCCAGCGATCAAGGCCGTCAATTTCGTCAATTACATTTATACCTTAGTAAAACATCCTTAAATTGATTCTTTAAGGTTACTTCTACACTATCCTTTAGAAATCATATTGGTAAAGATTTTACGACTTTTTCGTTTCTTACGTTAGTAAGAAAATAAAAATAGCGCATTAGAAAATTCTGTGTCTTTTAGTACAAATAAAATCGATAACCTCAGTAAAAAACTGAACATAATGTAAGAATTTGTTAAAATTATTAATAAAAAGTTTTCACAAATGGAAAAAAAGTTGGCTAACTTTAAGAAACAGGTAGATGTATTAAAATTTGAAAATAATCAAATTGAACGAAAATTGTTGAGTAATAGTCAATAACTATTAAACATTTTATATACCTACCTACCTATTACTTTTCCAAAGTTATAGGTTCTGCATGTCTTTATGGAATTCGTGAGCAATAAACTTATAGAGAAATTCGTAATATCTTAATTTAAATGACAAATCCACAGGAAAAAATGTTTTAATTGATCCAAATTCGGAGATATTGTCTCACGTTTAATTTTATACTAACCTATAGTGACTATGTTTTTCCCGGCCAATATTGCATCATTGCTCTTTAAATCATACCTCTTCAACATATTTTTGTTTAACTAACTGACCACGGTCAATGGTCATTGGTTATGTCCAGTTATTAGTTAATGGTGGACTGAACGACCCTGTTGGGCCGCTCGCTGCTCATATACAATATATATTTATTAATCTTATTATTGTAAAATTATAAATTAAAATATTATTTAATAAATTATAAACAAGTAATATTATTATTGAATATAAAAACTCAGATTCCTGATTATTTTAAAATACCAGACCGTTAGACACTAAAAGCTATTTATAAAGAAAGTGTAGAAAATTAAGATATTTGGTATTTCAAGCGTTTGTATTGTCGTATTGATACAAGTTTAAGTTATTCAAATAAAAATTGTACAAATAATAAAAGTTATTCAATTCCAAAAATTATCACCAAAATTAATGGTGGATTTTCAGTAATGGATATAAGATTATGGCACAATTAGATTTACGACAATGTAATTGTACAGTACTTCACTATAATGAAAAATGGAAATATAATAGTCAAACAGAAATTGCTTGAGTAATATTACATATTCATTTAAACTGAAATATTCGAAAACAGACAACAATATATCTACTTTAACTTTTTTCCACTTAGAATCGTTTTTCGATTACAATGATATAAACATATTATTGTATTATAGTAGTTCTAAACCATTAAAATCGAAAACTGTTTAAATTATAAAATATATGTTAAATTGCATGTTTTTGTGATATTAACAAAATAAAAATAAAAATTAAGTTTACAAATTTAATATATTAAATAATTTGTATAAGTACAACATACGAGGAAGAAAATATATTATATTTAACACTAATTTTTTTTTTTTTTTTATCAGTCGTTATTAAAAATACATTACAATAATTTCATAAAATTATTTTTATTTTTATTATTATTAAAATAATTTACAATCTATACAACACATTTAAGTAAAATAAAAGTACTTATAGCTTAAAATAAGACAAAATATTTTAAAAGTGTTATTGTGTGTTAAAATGTTAAATTTGGTATTAGTGAAAGGTTAAAAACACGTGCGATTAGTATTTTTTGTATAATATAAAAAATAATTTCTTGAGATTAACATATTGTAAAATGGTTGAATAACAAATATCAATTTAATTTTAATAATAAATAATTGCAGAAAAAATTATGGTTTTTTTATTAAATTTATTGAAATAAAGCATAAATATTCAAGATAAATCTTGTATTAAACTTTTAGGTCTTATAGGAGCTGTAATAAAAAAATAAAGAGAATATTAAAATACAAAATAATGTATAAAATTTTTTTTTAATTATATAATATCTTGAAATATTAGGTGATAATTTAAAGTAGGTACTGGGCCACTGGGGATTTTTTTCCTTTATATTTTATTCATGAAAACATTTTTAGAATTTAAGATAAAACATATTTACTGCTTTGAAAATTATATTAGACACGAAAAAAAAAATGATTTGTTGTAAATCCAATACATTTATCTTTCCTATCCTACACTGAACTAAATTATTAAATCAATATTCAAACAGATTTTTGTAAATAATATGGTGTAATAAAATAAGGAAAACTTTAAACCGTATGTTTAAGGTAAGTCTAACCATATTTAATAAAATAAAATAAAAAGCAAACAATGATTATTGTTATTTATTGTTACTAATAGTGATTAAATCTAGTTTTGTTTATAACAGTTGTGTAACATTGTCATTTGTCACTAAACAAAAGAATCACGAAGAAACTATTCAATATAAATCATGAATTTCCTAATGGAAAATACATTTAGAGCATACTCCATCTATACCTTTAAAAAAGTACATAAAATTTTTAATAGTGAATGTGCTTGCTTTAAAAAATATGTTACATTCTTGAAACTTAAGTCGACAACAAACTTTTACTATTAATGATAATTGTTTAATTAATTTTATTTATTTTAGAAAAACATACAACCTACACTTTACAAAAAATATAACCAAACTATTGTCAAGTGAGTAACTATAGAAGAAAAGTATTAAATGTACTATATAATATTATTTATTATATATTATTATTCGATTTAATTGATTTTAGACCTGGAATGGTAGTGGGTTTTTGCAACCCACTATTGGATATGACCGTGGTAGGAAACCACGATTTATTAGTTAAGTATGGTCTGAAGAGTAATGATGTAATTTTGGCCGGGGAAAAGCAAAGAGGACTATATGAAGAATTAGAAAAAGATCCGAACATCCAATACACTGTCGGAGGTTCGGGTCAAAATTCCTTGAGAGTCGTACAGGTAATTTCAATAAATAACTCAAACAAATAACTTAAATAATCTTATTATTTTAAATAAAAACGTGTGTTCCGTAGTGGATATTAGGAGCGCGGAAGTCTGCCACGTTTTTTGGTGCAGTCGGCAATGATCAATACAGTGAAGTATTAGAACGCGAGGCGAATCGCGATGGACTGGATGTTAAGTATCAACATCATTCTGACAAACCCACAGGCAAATATTACATACATTTTTTTTTTTAAAAGATGTATAAGTACAAAATAAATATAAATATCCACTACTTCTTACAGGAACATGTGCAGTCATAATCACCAACGGTGGAAAAGACCGATCACTGTGTGCAAATTTATCAGCATCAAGATGTTATACTGACGACCATCTGGAACTCCCAGAAAATAAAGAAATTCTCGAAAACGCACAGTTTTATCTGGTGACTGTAAGTTTTTTAATTATATGGTATTGAATTACATTTTTAAATCGTCAAATTTAGTAGAAATCTTTTTTTGTTGTAATACATTTTTTATATTAAATCAATTGAATTTAAACGTTAGAGTATATTTTATCATTGTATAATAACTATGCCTCATTCAAAGTTAATAAACAGATAACATTTATTTTAATATAAATATTTTATGGGCTGAATACACTTATTCTTTTAATCAAAATGTTTATAACTTAACAGTTACAACTGATAATAATTGATAGACTTACGTTAACATAGTAATTTCGTCGATACATTTTTGAATTACAATTTTAATAACATATTAACATTTCTTTTTAGGGTTTTTTGTCGAATTTCAACACTGTAAAAATTTCAAAATGTACAAACGAAAAATCGTCCATGTTTATTAAATATGGCCTTATATATATGAGCATTTCGATTCGGTTGCTATTTTGCCGTGCAAGATATTATGGTCAGGTATCGAAGTGAATAAATGTAGTGTAATTGATTGATTAATAACTGATTCAAAATATGTTTAATTTTAGAAGGTAGAGCATTTGCTAAGGCGGCTGGCTGGGAAACATCTGACGCGGAAGAAATTGCAAGAAGATTAGTATTTTCAACTCAGGAATGATGGTCTCGTCTAGTAATCTTAACTCAGGCAGACAAACCAGTGATCGTAGCTTTGAGTAAATATTTTGTAAATATAATTTTTAAAGCTCCTAAAATTTTTACTTTTCTCAGGAAAACATGTAACAAATTCTATATTCCCAAATACCTGAGGAAGATATTGTAGACACTAATGGAGCTGTGATGCCTTCATTGGTGGTAAAACTGCTCACTTTAATTTAAAAATTTCTTTATTTAAAAACTATTTTATCACAGCATTCATAGCTAAATATGTTTGGGCTACTCACTAAAACTTGTATCTTTCTGGATAAATGCTGGGACCTATATAATAAAACAACTGGGATGACAAGGAGACGATTTCGATGTATAATATTTTATGTATGGAAAAATAGCAACCATGATAGAATCGATAATATGGATTCAAAATATATGATGCCTTAATGTTCCATAAATTGACGACCTCTTTCACCTTTGAATCTTACTCTTTCTTCAACAGTACTTTTTCGATATTCAGAAAACCTATGACATAAATATATGTTTTTATTATTTTTTACTCTTTGAGATTTCTAAATCAATATTTACAAACACTTCAACGCTAATAAATTGGCTATCGGTATTTTCAACACGTGTTACAATGACGGTTCATGTTCTTATATAAGTAATAATTATATTTATTTATCACGTACCTATACACTTTTGAAAAACGCAACTCAACCTTCATCAATAAATTTTCAGAATGTTAATGGTATTTTACGTCCAGACTATCGCCGATCGTCGTGTTTCAGAACTTTGCGTACCTAAGTTAGCCTTTCTGACTACAAAAAACATTTCTAGTTTCAGACTCATGGTAAAACATTTTATTTTTATCTACATGATTATAAATATTTAATTTTTAGTTTTCATTGATTCCACCTGGACGACTTTCAATGAGTTTTGACCGGAACTCTATAGCTGAGTATTATATACGTTTGGCTCTTTTCAATTATTATTAAATATTTCTTTATATGTTTTTCCGGCCAATATTACGTTTTGCTCCTTAGATCATATAGATTTAATATAATTTCGTTTTCTATCACATCATGTCCAATAATTGGGTTTTACAAGCCACGACATTCTTGGTCTAAGATCAATAAAATCGAATACTATGATTACACGATAATTTCTCATATTTACCTACCTGATGACGATTGCTTTAATACTTTGTGTATCTAGTTTTATATTATCTTTCCTCAAACTCATCTTACATTACTCGATAAATGTGAACCGGGTGAGCATAACTTATCCTCCGTGAAATGAATATTATACGCATAACCGTTCAGACAAACAACTTTTCTTAAAATTTGAAGTACTAGAAGGACATGAATTGATCTAGAGATTATTATTATTCGTAGGTGCGGTACTCAGGTATGTAATAGGTTAAAGCTACGTCGGTTTACGTACTTTGACATCGAAGTAAATAAGATTAAGTTTATATTTTAGAAGATAAGTTAAATAAATTAGAAGAATAAAATGCGCTTCACTGAAAAACCGAGTTGAATGCAGCATCCGATATTTCATTTCCGTCTTTCTGTAGTATAACAAAAATTTTACCTCCATTCTATTTTGTTGCGTGGCGTTTGTATATATAATGCCACATAGTAATTGTCCGTGAATTGTGTAGTCATGTGGATTTATTTAATTTTGTGTCTCTATATATCGAGTGCTATTTATTGTATTGTATATTATAATCGATTTAGATAAAATTGACATAATTGAACGGTTATTAGGTTTTGTGTTATTTATACTCGTATTTATATGTATTTAAATTAAATTTATTGTAGTTATTCTATATGGTTATGAAATCAGTCTAATAATTGTTAATGGATAAATTGACATATAAATAGTTAATTAGTTAGTACTTAGTAGTTAGTAGTACTATATTTTAATATTATATTCTATTCCTTTTGTATTTTTGTTGTGGTTTGAAATAAATCAATATTAAATTAATCTAATAATGTATTTTAAGTTATAAATTATAATATTTAACTTTTACACTTTATTAAATTAAAATTATTATAATGTTAAATTATCTAATTATAAAATAAAAATTACTTAAACTGCTAAGTTCCATTTGGTCTCAGAATATTTTGAGTAAAATTAAATTAATATATACAAATTATTTATGTATTTTATAAACAGGTATTATTAACGTTACTTCAAATTTAATGACAGGTACCTCAAATCTAGTTCAAGTTACCACGGTAAATTCAAAATATTTCTCTAAT